GGGAGGAAATGTGCAAACATGTTACATGCAGGATATATGTACAATAAAGTGACAACAACAATCTTTGTGCCAGTTTCCAGCCAACACACTAGTTTTCACCTGCTGAACTCACCTACTCCAGTTCCAACATTTACCTGTTCCAGTTCCAGCCCTATTTTCTTCCATATTGCTCAATAAACCCTGTTAACCCTTCATCTGTCCCATTTTATTTGGGTTCTCATCTTTCGTAACAATTAGCATCTATTGCCAAATCTAAAAATTCAATTGAAATGACAATCATGCCATACCAGTTAAAACATGTATCTCCATGGCCTCGCACCAAGTACATAAGTGACATGTTAGTCCCATTTGGATCAACTCAGACTCTGAGGAGCACAGGAACTGTACTGCTAGTGCCCAGAGTCAAGACTAAACATTGGAGGCATAAAATCTGGAACAATCTTCCTGAGAATGTGAGACAGGCCTCTCCTCTGACAATGTTTAAAACCAGGTTAAAAACAGTTCTGTTTAGCTGTGCATACAACTGAGGAATTTTATATTTTATCTTTCTTTATAATGTACTGTGATTATTTATGATTTGAATGCCCTTTTTTATCTTGTTTTGTTCAGCACTTTGAGTTGCCTTGTTAGTTAGATACTTTATTGATCCCAGTAGGAAAAATCCAGGTGTCCAGAAGCAGCAAAATCACATCCATCCACACAAACAAAACAAATTAATTAATTATTCTAAAAAGCTAACAATTGTATTAATAAGCAACAGCAGAGGTGGCGTAGCCTCTGGGTGGAGCAGGACAGGTCGAAGCAGCAGAGGTGCAGTATCTTGACTTACCGGATCGGAAGAGGTCCCATTGAACAAGCAAGAGTTTGTCACGATTCAAAAAAATAGACCAGAGCGTATGAAGGTCAATGGCTTTTGTTGCAGTTCATAGAGAATGGTAGCCTGGGAATCCCCACGCTGCTGTGTGGACTCAAATAAATTCAATCTTTAATATTGTTTTGAATTCAAACTGCACAACATCCAGGACACCATGACCAAAATCTCATATTTAACGTACACAGACAGCAGTAATCATGTTGCACCATTGTGTAAACATAATTCCACTTCTTTGCTCCTCATCCAATTTCTGTCACTTGACAAACAACATTGAGTAGGATTGAAATGATTGGGCAGATGAACTATGGGCAGATAAAAATAAATGGCTGTGGACAATCATAAACCAAAGCCTGTCCTAGGAAAATGGAGCTTTCGCGAAAGTTCACCGTGGTAGACCCGGCTGCTGCTGCCCAGGCCACAGGCTGCTCTTCCTCGACTCATCAATACCAGCAACGCCCACATCCAGTCAACCAATAACCACCAGGACAGCAAGTTAAAAGCCGGGGACGCCCACTTCCCGGCTGTTGTATATTTTAATATTTGACCATTTGAACATCATAGCCAGAAAGACCTCTGTGCACTCAGGAAAAACCCCAAGGACACAGGATAATCAGACATGAGTCATAAAGATAAAATGCTGTTTAAACAGGGCGAATTATTAACTTTAAATAATAAACATTTTGACGAGGACAAAAGTTCAGAACCTGATCTTGAGGCAGACTGGGAGATTCACCAACGGCATTCTGACGCCTCCCAGTGGATAAGGGACGTCAGCACACCCGGAA